AGTAGTAATACCCCCTCTCCCAAGACTACTCACGTTGGAAGTTGAGGATTTGTTGATCCATAGCTGCATCCGAGTCCCTAAACATTTGGTCAAACATTAGATGGACCATCTCGATCTGGTCACCGTCCTCTCCTGTTCCCGCCGCTGAACAAAAATCATGATAATACCACAACTCCGTGAGCAATGATTTTCATCGTTTTGCTAGCAACAACATGAGAGTTTGAAAAACAATGTAATTTCCCTGTGATCTCCTATCCTGACAATTCCAACGCCAAATGAACCCACTGTCCCTATAGTGTTCCAAGACGGTAAAAATACCAGCATTACTCAGCAATGGTAAATTTATACGACTACGCCCATGCTATCAGTCCTACCATCCGAATGCTTCCCACTATATAAGGAGTGTATTTTTTCGTAGGAAAATTCGGAAAATTATTTTTCGTCAATTTTTTCGCGTTCTTCAGCTGAAATTTTGATAGGACATACATCAAGTAATAAGCCATCATATAGTAGGAGAACAAATTTCCCGAAAAAATACACTCGCGAATGATTATTGCCCATCCATCTACTACATCGATTCCTGCACCCCGAGCCCGATGCATCCAATGGGTTCACATGGTTCCCAACGTGAGCTTCCGGGGCTGCTCTCCAACGAGTTACTTTATTACGGAAGAAATGACGACTTGCCTCCTTATCAAGCGACGTCCTAGCAAAGATTCAAAATAGGTCCGGATCACACCTGGGCCTACTTCTCAACAGCTCCCACTAAATGAACGTTGATAATGCGGCTGGACAATAGCGAGCCGTTGGCTTCGACCACATTACACAAACCAGGACGATCAGTACACACGATAAAGACGGCTCTGAAGGGCTCATGCTGCTACAGTAGAGTAGGGAGGATGATGACATCTACCTAGCCGGGCAGCAGGGTTCCACTACTTCCTTCCAAACGGCCTCGAAGTCACCAGGATCACATACGAGGACGCCAAGGCCAAGCTGGATGCACACCGAGACGATCCTGAACGATAATAACAGGTTGACAGAAAAAGGAACACGATAATCTATGGCGCTACTCGTACTTATTACATAATCATTTCACCATACGATTGGGGAGCAATGAATGTTCAAATTCACAGGTGTATAGACTCAACTCACAAGGGCAAGTTATGATCTTCCAATAAGCTCAAGAGTTTCATACACGAGTAAGGGTAGAAGTGTACAGAAATAAACAGAAATTTCGCGAAGTTTTCACAGAATTTTCATATCGTCACCAACACATGTAGTTGACCAAAAGCATATTTTCCCACATTGATCGATTGAGTCAATAATAAAATTGTTGAATGTCAACATCCCAAGAGGCAAGCAATCAACGCCTCTCCCACAGAACCGAACGTTTTTCCCCGAGTAAAACCCTCACAGTTAGCCCTGTAACAACCAGGTATTCCAAGTCTGCCACTTACAGTCTGCTGAGGATAGGATCGTCCACCGACACAAACATCATATCGCCTCGATATTTATTGATATCACGCGTAGACCAACACCGAGCTCTCGAATGAGGTGCCGCACTCTCCACCAAATTGTACGGTGCTGTACTCAAACACGCGGTCAGTTCTGAAAGTAATACTTAGCGGAGCGAAGCTCTTTGTTATTTTCCTACCATCTCCTTGAGGCATTCGACAAGGCCTCGAGCTGAGCTTCTCCTGTTTACCCCCGGCCCCTCCTAGCACTGACGCTGCCGTTCCTGATGCTGATGACGGCAGTGGAGCTCTGCGTCCTCGGCAAAATTCAAAACATCCAGCAATCGAACAAAAACCCATTGTTAACGTTGTTACGAGGAAAAGGGAGAATTAACCGGAAACTACTACCACTAGAAACTAATACTAGAAAAAAGGATATCAACACTCAAAGCCTCGAAAAGGGAGGTTCTCCCACTAACTTATCTCCACATTTACAGTAGTGGCTTTATGGATACTCATGATACGGTCTACAGCCTACCGCCTAGGAGATGATCTCTGCGAGCAATATGTATCATCAAAGCAGTCACAAAACCTGTGCTGGATTTTTATATTTTTGTGTTGTATGATCCCACCATGATCTAGCATAACAGATCCAAGCTAGTGTCGACGTGTTATTCACCGACCCACTATATACTATTTTCATGCCTTGTGATACCGTAAATTCACGAACGTTTCGCGATTAATAGTAACATACCCTATGACTAGCGATCTAACATATGAAGAGATACACAGAATGAATAAAAAATTGTTTTACACACATATAGTATATCCATACACTGCATGTACCACTTCAATAGCAACTTCTCTTTATTTCAGAATTATATTTCTCGGATGAAAAATATAATTACAATATTAGTCTGCAACAACCACAAATGTCCATATTATTCCTTACACTCAACCCCAACTGATAACCACGAGAATCCCTCTAAAGATACATATCCCTTCCTGAACTTAACAACACCTACAGTAGTACCACACATGAAACAACGACAAAGAGGAGACTTCGATATCCACCCCTACCCAACCGCACCAACTGTAATACAGAAACATGTGAGTCACTTGAAGAACGTGTGGAATAGAGTCATAATCCTCATGATCAGTGGAGGAGACTGCACCCATCGGTCCGATCGTTGACGTAGGACGCCGAAGAACTCCTCCTCGTCCAATACGCCATTACCATTTTCATCTAGCACTCTGAGACAACGACCAACCATATCCTACACGAGATTCCACGGAGGAATGGTATGATTACTGAGCAATTACCACAGAGCAGCTACATAGGGCGACAGACGCCCGTTACGGGCGGCCCGTATCAAAAAATAAAGTTCCAGATCGCATCGCACACAGCCGACCAGGCATCCGGCCGATCATGGACAGGAACTGTCCCCGAATAGTGATAATGCAATAACGATGAGCTTACTTGAACAACACATCAACCACAACACCAATATCCGTGTCCGAGACTCTCCCCCCTTTGCGTTGTAGCATGACCATAAACTCCTAAGAGTCACCTCTTGCCTTCCTACCACAACATAGCCTGCCCACCTCTCGAGACAGTCGGGCTTTCTTCACTTCCTGGCCTCCATCCATCAACAGAGCATCCAAGCACCGATCGAACTCCTTTACCGCACCAAAGCATACTCGCCTGAGGACCACATCCCATAATACCACACCAGTCAGTCTTCTACCGCATTCCTCCCCAATCGATACCCTTAACACGCTTTGCCACTGCTTCCATGCGACCTGACCAGCAGCAGCAACAGCGTGGAAAGATATGCATTTCGTCAACTACTCATATTGGTAAAAATAAAAAAAATATGCAATTTTCGAGAAATTTCACCCTAAACCTTGTGTACATTTTCATGACGAAATTCCTGAGGAAACCAAACATATTTTCTAACACTAATCCTAGCCCGCCTGCAACAACAACAACAACCCTACCTGGAGGCACCAACCCCACCACAAGGCCCGCGAACTCCCTAGCCGTGATGCTGCTATTCATGCCTTCTCCCTGTACATCTCCATGGCTAGCAAACTCATAGTATCTACAAGGCTCATTCACATCCCAATACAAGTCTGTTATCCTTACAGCACTTCCTCGGCGATTTCCCCCAGAAGGCTCCGCAGAGTCGCTATGGTCAACTTCCCATCATGGGTAGGGAACAGCTTCTTGACTAAAGCAGAGCCCTCAACTATGGACCCTAGGGGCCTGTTATCCGATACTTTACGAGGATCTGGCAATACCTACTAATACCAACCATAACAACAACAACAACAACAACAACAACAACAACAACAACAACAACAACAACAACAACAAAAACAACAACAACAACAACAACAACAACAACAGCAAAAACAAAAACAAAAACAAAAACAAAAACAAAGACAAAAACAAAAACAAAAACAAAAAACAAAAACAAAAACAAAAACAAAAACAAAAACAAAAACAAAAACGAAAACAAGAACAACACCATAGATAGGACACGTCCTTACCCCTGCAGACGCCCACTTAGCCCCTCTAGGCGATTCCTTTACCAATACCGTAATAAGGTCAATAAAGCCTCGTCGAGACAGCTCCCCTACAGTGATACCAATCAAACAGCATACAACATGGGAAGAGCACACCTTTATCAGAGCCTTCCTCGGCACTTAGCCTATCAAAGATCTCCTCCGCCTTGCTCACTTTGGTCGTTACCATTGCACTCAATATCAGAAACTCGTCGAACTAAATTCACACACCATGCTGAGGTAGCGAAGGCCAATCGGCGACAAATCGAGATCTACCCATCTCGGGTATGTTCCCTTAATACACTACTTGCAAAAATCCATCACCATCAAGATCAAATAATGCTAATGCCTTTAGGTGCTCCTTTGGGTCCACTTCATAGTACATCTCCTGGAAGGTGAACCTACAGCATACCTCCCTACCATCCCTTATGTGGTCATTTCAAAGCCTTACGGTATAATAGAGCGCATAAAGTCGGAATAAGTCATCGCCCAGCGGCTCCCCGATCGACCCTCCGCCTCAACTGTTGCGTAGTACTCGAAAACCTAACAATTTACACTACTGCCAGTGACGACACAGTGCAATGAAATACACTACATGTGATGGGGACTCTGTGAAAATTGTGTGGAATTCTCATTGGTTTCTCTACACTCCTACCCGAATTCGTATATAAACTCCTACACTTCATGAGGAGACTCCTAAGCTCCGTTGAGGAGAGCAAACATATGCACCAACATAGTGGTAGTCAAATGCCAGTAGTGATCACACCAATTCACTGATACTTGCAGACTCCATAAATAATTCCATCGTCATTACCTTTTCGGGAGCTGCATAATACTTCATACGATTCTCGTAGTTACCCATCACGCTCGAGTGCAATCTGGACACCTCCTCCCGTCGAACCTTACCCTGACAATACACAGAGAATGAGCTCGTTCGTGTTGGAAAAATATATTCCCTCAGCTGAGCTCAAGAGTTTCCTCACTAATTATGAAAGTTTACTTACAAATTCGGACAGAATACTCAAAAACCAACAAAAAATTTCCCAAAAAATACCCCATTCTACGGTGGAAGTTTCCCCAACACATGTAGTTGTATATTTCCCACGCTAGCGGCGCCCACAAACAAGCCCCCCTCACCTTTGCGGTCTGCCCAACAACAGCCTGCTGCTCCTCACAATAACTTCTCCCACCACAAGTCGCCCCCCATCCCAAAACACCTGCCGTCCCTCCCACTACAAAGGCAGCAGCCCCACGCCAACTGACTGGTCTCGTTATTACGCCCCTCCTGAGCTGCTTACTGCAGGGAACCGCTACTAGAAGGCAGGGACCAACCCTATGGAGCATATGGGGCAGAAAAACTGAAGGAAAGGTAGTCGAAGAAACAGCAAGCCATCATCACGACCCTGGTACCAAAGGCATGAAGAGCTCTTTACCTAACACTACGATAAAATGTACGATGGCGAGCGGCCTCGGCCTCAGCCCTTCAGTGTGAAGACAAAGGCAGAGGTCCCCATTACTCTTACCCACTACAATGTGTGTTAGCAATAAAGCACTGCCACTGAGCCACTAACCCCCATGACGATCGGAGAAGCGTTACTCCAGTGAGGATAAATCGTGTGGCAATATTTGGTGATAAGTTCAGTGCTACTATAATCATACGTAGGATGTCACTAAACAATATTGTAGGTCTTAAAGACATTGAATCCGTCCATTGCAGTGGTTACCAAAACCTGACGGAATACTATACCCTAGCGAAGACCAACCATCTCGACACTTCCATAACAACTACGGCTTTTTAACACTACCGATAGCAGTAATAGGTGAAATTTCCACAACATAGAAATATTTCGAGGAATTTAACTCCTCTTACTACTTCCCAAAGGACTGCGACTGACTTCGTGTTTGACTATCCGCCTCTCTCGGTGCGTTACTGACTTTATGTAATACAATACTGCTAGGTATATACGTTTGTTATTCTTGCTTTTATTATGTTGAAAATCATATGAATATTCGCCGAGTTCGCCGAGAAATCACTTTTCACGCACTCGCACAGGAAAGGCCCAAATACAGTATACACGAGGGCCGCAAAACGACCACCATCACTATTACTAAGTAATTCTAAACGCCGTAACGACGTCAGCAAGAGTGAGACCCTCAGAGACGGGTTATGCTGGTTAATGCTGAGCTAAAAACCAGTACCCATGCACACAGCACAGTTTACATATGTTCTATAGGACAGTGACCTCATACATCAGGTGAAGTTACAAACGTCTTAACGAGTATTAACGACACCATACCATAAATCCTCCACATCACCACCACCACCTTACCCTCCTCAACCTTATCCATCTCCGGCCCATACACAGCAGTGCCTCCTCCTACTCCCTCAGATGGCTCCTCCTCTGTAACAGCCATCTCGGCATCTATTATTTCCTCCTTCTCGAACCTATCAACCATACCATAACAATCTCAACACACCCTTAATTGCTTACTCATCCTCCATAGGATCCTCGAATACCAGGTCACCACACTGTTGCTGCTCCACCCTCTCCTTCTCCAACTCAGCTTGAAACTGACCATAACCATAAACATGAGCATCCCAATACAATTATGTAAATTAATCCCGACTACTTGAAATATCCTGATACATTATACATACCACTCCTTTTCAAAATCCTAAATCGGATACCTTCCATCGCTATCCCCTCACGCAGCATTCAAACAGGTCACTATTCACTCTTTGAAATTGCAGAGATCACACAAAGTTGTTTATATACTTATATAACGCCTTATTCCTATCATCAATATACTTCACCTTATTCCTCACCACATTACCATCACCACCGCCCTGCATTACAGCTCACTTACCCCTCATCTTGCCGCCCTCAGGCATGGCGTCCTCCGTATGTGATCGCTCAGTAGCAGCCGCCCTGGGCATTTTAATACAAAAATCTAAGTCGTCGAACATAAGAGCAAAATCAGCGAAGCCAGGGCAGGGATGAGCTCGGTGAAATGCATCATAACCAAACCCGTTTCCCTGCTGGAGATAATCCCACCTTGTCGGAATAAATTCCATACCGGGAAAATTCTATACTACAAGATGTGTGTTGTATACAATGAAGTTTCACCCGTTTTACGTGAAGTGGCGTAATACTCTGTGAAAAAAGTCCGATATTCGCGGCGATATGCAGTAGTCGCGAATTGTGTTTTTCACCAGTGTTTTTCATATCACTAGAGTGAAACTCCAATGTCTAAATACTATATATGTTCTATACCCAATATTTCCTATATTGCCACCATGTAGCACAAGAGCAACCCCGATTCTCCCCCGACTACATCTCAACATCGATATATAATCAGCAACTGTATGATGAATGAAACTGTTGATAGTATCACAATCCTCCAACTCTGAACACTCGAATGTATCAGCTGCTGCTATTGCTACTGCTTCGGCGCGGGCTTCAACTGCAGTAGCGACTCGATAAGGTAATGCATATGATTCACCTACAATACGTGGTAATTTCGTGGCGCGTGACAAAAACTCACCAGTGGTGGGGTCTCCGTTCGCACATTAACCATAACCTTCTGCGGTAGTGTTCGAGTGATTACCAATTCCAATAAGACAACTAGCCGGTTCGTAAGGCATGCACCAAAGTAAAGCGCTGCCGATGCCTGAAAGTATACAACAATAATAGCGATTAGTATCTCTTATTTCGTATGATGCTGAGTTCAACCTAAGATTCCATAAGATTCCCCTGGAAAACATGAGCGCATTCCGAGAAGTCATTCGCATCCATAGAAACATATTAGCAGTCCCCGATACGGTTTTTATTCTACTAACCGCCTTGCCAACGTTTGGGTAAATTTTTCCGCATCGAGAATATTTCACCCACTTACTCCATCCTTAGATAGTCTAGTATTTACATGGAACAAATTTCCTTGCCTCAAACGGGCTATCACCATCTCAGGGTTCAGCGGCTGTGAAGGCGTTGCCATACGACTAGTCTGACGATCCGCACCACAGCGTTGCCACAAACTCAGGAACTGCTCCCTACACAAAAATGATGATAATAACAGCAGCATATGCCCAGCATGGACTTACGCATTGATCAACTGCTTGGGCTCGCATACTACATATAGGGTGAACGGAACGTTCATGTAAAAAATATCCACATTGGTTTTGATCGCTGTCTGAGGCCAACAACATCATCAGTTGATTAAATGCCATCTTTATTCAATACTGCATTCCTTCTACCTATATCACGCTATTACTAATCTATACCCAAATCACAGCTGACTCCCAAGTCGGCTGAGCAAATGAGGAGGAATATGCTAGAATCTACCCCATACAATATTCACTTACAATACATATTCTCTGCGTATTTACTATACACAGTACTCGAAAAGCGGGTTTTGACTAAGACTGGAAAGTCTCCCCAAGTCCAGGTCAGTTTTTCAAAAATCTAAAACCTTTCCCGATTATCTATGCATTTTTCCTATCGTGTTTACAATGAGTTTTAGAGTAGCGAAACATACCCAAGTCGCTTAATTCCAAGTGTATTTCCTTCACCATACCATAAATCTCTCGATTCTCAGAAATTTAAGCTATGAGCCCTGAACAGCCCCTCATCCCTTACTTGAAGTAGCAGTGGAGGATGGTTCGGTGGGGGAGTGCCCGAGTTCAGCTTATTCGGCTCCAATGCTACTCTCACACTAACATTACTTCCAGGCTCAAGTACATCAGGCATTCCCGCTATCTGAACAACAACATAATTTCGTGGCGCGTGACAAAATCCCTTCCTACCTGCGTTGACTTAGGTGCCAATCCAAAGGCGTTCTTGTTACACTGTATAGCAAAGCCAGTTAACGGTGTACTTCCAGAATTCCCAATCAATAGTTCCATGCACAACACCCCCTTAACAAAGCCGACTCCAGCAGCCACCTTAAGGCCAGTATGACCATTACCTAGGACAAATCTTGCTATCTTACATTTCCTCAACGCCACCACGCGCCATAAACTACACTTAATGTGATTCTCACTTCACATTAGTGATACGAATGTGAAAATGTCGTAGCCATAGCAGCCGACATCATAAAAACAGCGCGACAAGCGACGAATACTCAAAAGTAGATTATACAATCATACGATACCAAACTCAGTACCACAATTAGGGAACGACTTTCCAACCATAATTCCATCCACTGAAATAAAGCAGTTACTCAACAGTAACACAATACGTCCCCAACAACAAGGACGAGTCATGCTACTATCCTTTCACAGGAAGTGATATCCCATCCTCATTCACCTCCCCTCTGGTCCTCTGGATGGACCATGAACCTCTGTATCGGTAAATCAGGAGTAACAGCAGCCGCCGCCGCCGACACAGCAGCAGTAGGAGTCTCCTCATCACTATCGCTACCTGAGATGATACCAAATCGTCGCCCCCCCGAGATGCACTTCAGACGAGCTTACTTTCGTCATCATCATCTTCATCTTCACTACTACTGCTGCTCTCCTCACTACCCGAGTCCAGGTCTGTAGTGCGCTCATCATAATTCCGCGGGCTCGCCATGGCTGCTTTCACCGCCTTAATCTGATAAGCCGCATATCTCAGGTTCAATCATCAAAGATACAAACTAGGTCCGATAATAGACCATACATTACATTCTGATTTCGATCTTCCACACTGCTTGCATCAGCATAATAATCCTCCATCTCCTCATACTGCTTGGTGCCCTCTATCAGCTCATCAGGGGCTATGAAGTAAATCGACGACAGTTGACCAATCGTGCCAAGAAGGGTCTCCAGAAGACCCTAACGGGAAGCCACAGCACTTAGCCTTTTTATCTATCTACTACTCCTCCTTCTTACCGATTCCACGAGGAGGGAGGTATCACTTATCCTAGGTAAAGGTGCTACTACAATCTTCTTACACTTCTCCAGATCTCCCATAGATAGCATACGCCAGTACATGTAACCCCTATCCCGCAGATCAGGATTGGACGAGGAGTTGGTACAAGCTTTAAGGACCTGACCAGAGCAACTCTATTCAAGACTAAAATTCCTCCTCATCAACATTCGCGCACGCCCAGAATTAACGCGTCTAAGTTTACTACTCTATTAATTCTGCTGCAAGTTCAAAGTGAAAATCATCGACTGTAGATCATAACAGCGATCTATCTAACAGGTTATAATACACGTATTAGATTGATTCGTATGCAAACTATTTCTCAGTTGTTGTGGTAACGAATAAGTCCCCTTGCGAAGAGTAAACCCAAATAGAACGTTGAGAGTAACAATTTTAAAACATGTATTTATTAATGTAAACCGATTCTACAGAGGCGTGGTGTACCCAACAGCTACTACTACTACTACTACTACTACTACTACTACTACTACTACTGCGCCCTTCCCCTCTACCTTTGACACAATGTCCTGATTAGTCTTGGTAGGCTCCTTGAGGAAGAACTTTATAGCAGCCGTTAGTAACTCTTGTTGTACTGCATACGTCTCGCTGAAGAAGCCGTCCAGGAAGGACTGAATTACAGTACATTGAAAAAATATGCGTTAACCTCAGCCACAACACCAAACCGTATCAGCCACATCACTTACTATAATAGATACGTGATTTATTACATATAAGAGGTCACCAGCATTCTCGATCCTATCCGGATATTCTCCCAGTATCCAAATAATCGCTTCTTTCGCCTCGGGCTTAGCCAGAGACTCCAAATTCTCGCACAGTGGGCCAATAACAAACTCGTACTTTCCAGGGTATTTCCTGACAGAAAAATACACTACATTTATTCGCCTCCTCAGCTCAGTTGAAGACACTGCCAAAGTATTGTCCAGAAAAGATAATTTTTACATGAAAAATCACGACAATGAGAGGCGGAGCGAAGCTCCCACACCACCACCAAGGGAATAATACTACCTAAAGACGTCTCGCATAGAGACAACAGACTCTTGTAGGACATAGTCAGCACGGTGCTCAATAAGCTCTAGGATGGCATTCACACATACATCCGCCGCTGCCTCCAACTTCAGTGCTATTCGGCCTGAATGTAAGTAAAAAACAGAAAAGTGCACGCATGCGCACGCCTGATTGAAGACTCTAACACTTTCATCGCTCACGAAAAGCATTCAGGACCAGACAGGATTGAAATTATCGTTTGATGGACACTACCTATAGAAGATACTGCCTTGCATGCAAACTCCAGGTCAACCTCATTAGCATAATCCACAAGCTCTGCTACCACCACATCAACATTCCGTTCATTCGCCAACATCACTGAAATAGAGCCAAGTTCCAGGAGGAGTGGTATAGTATATTCCACTCCGCCTACCCATCACATCCAACTTCTCCATTTTAACATAAATAGGATCATTATACTTACAAAAGAAGACCTTGACCTCCCTAAAAATGTAATGTCGTGCTTCGCTCCGCCTATTTTCACCAAGTACCATACTTACCCTTGTAGTACTATCGGCCTCTTTTGCACGATCAGTCTGATATCACGCAGAGCAATGTACCTGAAAATGCAGCCAATAATTTTTTCTCGAACACACTCACACGTCCATTTCAAGATCTCTCCACCGAAAAAATACCAACAGTACGGGCGCTGTAGCATGATGAGACATATATTACTATTACTTCGACAATCTCGATCAGAGAAATTTTCTTTATCGGAATGTAATTGAATTTCACTCTCCTCCCCCGTTGCCCGTACGTACTGTATTTCCGGCTCCTGGGAAAGGAGTGTGACCAGAGGGGCCGACAGCCTACGGCACATGACTCTGATCATATCCGTGTTGTTCAGTTTATCCATCATTTTCATAATCACTTTGATTGCCGATAGAACCTGACAACCACCCAAGGCTGCACATCCGAGTATCATGATAGAGCCACGACATATTCACACTCGCAGGGATAGAACCCACACCCTTCCCCACCACAGTCGCCATCTTTACCACTAGACCATCCCAGAATACTACCACAGCCGAGTTAACGTGACTCAGTCTAGCCGACACTCGCTCTATCATCTCCTTAGCCTGCCTACTATCCTTAGGTTGATACATAGTGATAGCATCCAGTATAATAACCTGAGCCCATTCCGTACCTAACATCGAACACTTCTATTAGCATTCACCAGCTGCAGCAGTCGTTACATTCGTTCAATGCCAATAACAAATTGGATACCGTCTTCTCGTCCAAAGGCATCATTCGCTTGCCCG